TTTAACATAGGACCCCCTATTTCTATGTCTTTGGTACACAATAATGGAATTAGGATCCGTATGAAAAAGAATGTTCAAAAGTGCAACTGAACTGCCTCATCTTCGAGGCGATAAGACCAGCCACACGATGTAATACATTGTGGATTATTTAACTAATATTTAAGAAGTTATATATAAATGACTTTACTCGAATTTTTAAGACTACTTTTATTGATTAGAAGGGTCTCGGTTTGGAGATTACACTTGCGGTCTAATATATAAAAATAGATCATCTTCTTAACCAAGATATATAGTTGAAACATTATGCCTCAATGCTTAGACTACTCATGTACACTCATGAATGATTCCATATGTTTATGTAGGCTTAACCGATTCTAATAACAATTCACTTTACTTAAATTTGAAGTAACAAGAACTTTTTTTTTTTTTTTTTTTCAAATCTCATTCAGCTATCCACCCAAAGAAAACTTACTAAAAGGTAATCACCAATCATTAAAAGTAGGGCCGGTAATATGGGTCACGACACGACGACATAACTCGAAAATGACACAAATTTTGTGGGTTAGGGTTGAGAAAAAAGATGTTCGGGTCAGAATTGGGTCGACCTGAAATTGACACGAAAAACACGGGTCAATTTCAGGTTGGACCCGCCTAACCTGAATACGACACGAAACTCGTAAAAAACTAAAAAATACATATATTTTTCATTGCATATTTTAAATTTTATTATGAACTTGTGATATCATGATAGTTATACTCAAAATCTTATACTATTATTTGCTTAATTTCAATGGATGTTATTGTAATTTAGTGTGTTATGAATTTTAAGTAATTTTTAATGTGTAAAAAACTAAATAAAAGTATACAATTTTCGTGTCAATTTTGGGGTCAATTTCGTGTTACGGGTCATTTTCAGGTTGTGTCGTGTCAACTCGTAAAGTGGTCGTGTCGTGTTCGTGTTGCGATTTTTAAAAAATTTCGTGTCACGGGTCGTGTTCGGGTTGACTGCAAATTTAGAAAGAAACGATCAAAACACAACACGAACATGACACGTGACACGATTGCCACCCCTAATTAAAAGATAGCAAAACACATAGTAGCATTTGAAAATTTTATTACTGAAATGAGCCTTAAGGTATTATCAATAACATATCAATTTGTAACAAATTTACTATGAATTAATACGTGTTATATATACTCACATACATGAAAACATAAACTATGTTTAACTATGTTTTATTGTGAAAATAAACAATACGTCCATTTATTTATATGGTCTCTGTTTTTTTTAAAAAAACTTATATTCACTACATAGTTTTTGTGTTGAACTCGTCGTTCGTGGTTTTGATATTGATGTGTTTGACGTGCTTTGGTCGCTAAGGCTTACTTTAGGATTGTCATTCTTGTTCAATTCAAAATTATCTCTTCTATTGGTTAGATGTTTTTATGTCACCTATCAAAAGATAAATATTTATTTAGAGGTATTTACACAAAATAATCATTTCTTTGTTTCCATTTGTAATATATATCCACAATGTAACAATATTCCTCAGATGTCCATTTTCAAATTATTAAGATTATATTATTCCCCTTGTACCTTTGCATGCGCAGTTATTAATGTCCAATGACTTATTGCATAAAACGTGAGATTAATTATTTTCACACTTTTTAAACTTTTCGTTCCTATAATAAATCTGTTTCTTTTCTTTTATACAATCAACTTTTTGCAATGGGTTGACCTCAAAAAACGTAATGGTCCTCTATTTAAAGAGGGGTTAAGAATGGGCAAAAATGTTATTATAGGTGAGTTATGTGACATAATTGGACATATTGTTTTTGTTATTCCCTTCATAATGAAAACATATGTAAATCACTCAAATATTTAACTAATGGATTTGATGTTTTCAAAGGTTATGTATTGGCCCATTTATAATAGACCAATTACTCGTTCTCCCACACCCTCATTGATGTGGGACAACAGTATCCACAACTGTGATCCACTATAATCACAAGTTCTTTATGTGCACTGCTTTTTCTCCACATAGTATACGAGAAGTACGGAAATCAACGTCAACTGTAAATGAAAAATATTAGCATCTGAAGAGGAAAAAGGAAGATAGCAATTGATTATTGGAGATAATTTGTATAAAGATTGAAATGTATGTACAGTCTAAATCTCATCTGTTGGATGAGGTTTAGAAACATTCTTATAGTCGAACTTTTTCATGATCTTCTATTTGTTGGGCAGTTGATAAATTCTTTTTAACAGCTCATAAATTTTTTTAATCATACAAATATAATGGCTGGAAAGTAGGATATATATACATCCTTATATTTTAGGATTTGAGAGCACTAAAAATTTGACAAGAATGACTCTCCAAAAGTAATCACACCCCTCAAAGTCCTGTATAGCCTGATGACAGCAGCTATAACGTTGTTTGTAATCGAAAATAGTTTCTACTTTATAATCTCGTTTTTACCTTCCACTGTTGTGTATGATTTCAGATATAAACAACTACATCTGAAAACTTTAATTTCAGGCCACATTGCTTATTAGATATTGTTATCAAATGATAGGAGAAAAGGAAAACACTCCGCTTCTTAACATACAGCATCTAATAAAAAGTTTACCGTAATTCTGTGGCTTTCTTCATAAACAAAATGATTTAATTTTTGGCCTGGTAAACTCCATTTTCTTCCACAAAGTCTCCCTCAGAAGTCAGAAGGGAGATATCTCCAATTGAGTCACATACTACAGCATTTGTTATACCGAATTAATGTTTTCAAACATCTTATATTAGCACCATAATGTTATATATTGCTGATCATCTTCATTGTGGGACGCTATACAGAGGTGGACATGAACGGTCCCTAATGATTAATCTATTCGTTTTTGCCGACATCAAAATTGGAGTTTTGGGGCATAAAAAATTTGTAAGTTTGTTCTTTTTTTTTTTTTTTTCGTCGTACGGACGATCAGTAGTTTTCGGTTCTAGATCGATATCTGCCCGCGCTTGCAAAATGAGTCCTTGATGAAGCCTGTCCGAGGGGAATATAACCGGAATGGTGGAGTTACTGGAGTTGATGGTCTTATCATTACATAGTCTATTGAGTCATCCTAGTTTATCCTTAAAAGCCTAACACTGTATGAAGCTGATAATGTTTAATTTGCATCCACAAAGCGCAGGAAGCCCATGCCATTTGCTACTCTTTACTTCTAGAGCACTAAATACCCTTTGGTGAGGCAAACAAAACGGGAAGTTTACATAATTGGCACTAAAATACGTGAGTAGTAAAAGAAAAACACATAAAAGGAAAAGGATCAGTAAGAATTACACGCAATCGGTAAAGGGCTAATAAGCTTGTCTTCTACTTCTCTTCTTCCTCAGCCGAGGAAACCTTACTTAACCTGCTTGGTGGTGCTCTGGCATCATTGGTTCCAAGCTTTCTGCCTCCGCTGCGGCGGCTGCTGCTGTTTGCACCATACAACGCTCTGTGTGCAAGAGCTTTTCCGAAATGGGGCTCTTCGGGTTGTTTGCTCTTAAGTGACTCTTGGGTGTTGTCTTGGACGTTGCCACTCTGCGTGTCAGAGGCCTCACCATTTCTCTTATGAGTAGCCATTTAAATTCTCAAACCCCCCTTTATGGTATTCTTCAGGAGATTTGAGAAGAGAGAGAGTAATCAAGAGGATGGTCATACAAATGGGGTTAGTGCCTATCTTTATATTGCTTTTTCAGAAAAACAAAATTTTGTAAGGCCTTAACGTAACGGTTTCCGTAGCCTAAGGGGACATGTCAAACCCTTTCTCAAAGTTGTCTTCAACTTCAAGAAACCAAATATACCAAAGCACCAAAATCTCTTTTTTGTCTCAACGCCCTCTCTCATTCTAGTTATTAACGTTACTCTTTAGTATCTACTCTTGCAAAGCCGGGTTTTAACTTTTTACCGCATCTGGCATTTAGCAAGGCAATTTGCTTTAATGCACAAAAATACGAGATCATGAAAACTAGAAAACCAACGTAGCTAGCAGGCAGAGTATCCAAGTTTTTATAGAACGGAATTGTTAAAAATCGAAGATAATTACAACTCGATGTATGAACCCAAAAGTCAACCATTCAACTTACAAAATCATCATCAACAGTTTATTACTTCTATAAGTTTATAACATAATGATGACAAGGAATGTACAACAAAATCTCGGTTATGCACGTTCCAACAAGAGTTCATTTTAGAGACCATGAAACAAATTGTCACGATCCTAAGGACGTGTGTACCGTCTCCGGCTTCAGTTTACCATTTGTTTCATATTGCATAAGATGGATTCCAAAAGCTAAAAGCCATCTTATGGATCTCTCTTTTTCTTTTTAAATACAAAAAAAAAATTTAGTTTATAAGTTTCCCCCATCCTTTTCTTGTTAAAGGGGATGGCACGGTGTGAATCCAGTTTGTCATTTTTTTTTGTCTTATCTGAAACATTTTCGAGAGAAGAAAAAATAAACAATAATAACGTAATGTCGCTCTCGTAATCACCCTCAGGGTGATAGAAAGAACCTTGGAAGAGTTGAATCACTTTTGACCAAGTCAGAACCGACAGGGACAGCAGCCATATTTTTCTATGAGGCAGACCAAATGAATTGGATACCTTTTTATCTGTTTACAATATATGGCTCCTCTCCCTCTCGCTTCCTCTTTCCCAGCTTTTTAGCTTTCACTCTCATTCCTTGCCGTCGCTGAAATCCGGTATTCGCTTCTCAGCCGAAAGCTTTCCAGCAATATGGCACATTATTATCTGTTTATGTCCCCACTAATTCCTTTTTTCGATCTCCTGGCATTTCCCAAAAAAAAAAAAAAAAAAAAAAAGTTCAGTACTCTCATGAAAAAGTCTACCATCAACATTTAGGAGAGTGAGAAGCAAAGTAGAAATACCTGCAATAAACTTACCCCACATTTTTTTTTTTTTTTTTTTTTTTTTTTGCTAGAAGCTGCAAACTTATCCTTGTTGAGCAACAAAATGTTTGAAATTATTTGTTTTGTAGAGTCTCATCCGGGAATGGTTAAGCTCATATACTAGAAGACAATTGTTTATTAGATACAGATTACAGATACAAAGAAGAGCATCTAGGCAAAATACAGTACTGTAGTTAATAAACTAGATAAAATACAAGTTTCACATCACGCAAGAAACTGTACATAGGAGCCTGGGTCAGCCTATCATTTTTTTTTTTTTTTGCATGTACATGTGAAAGTGTCATTTACAGCTTCATATATATGCCTTTCATGTGAAGAAAACCAGCGACGGCACCCCAAAATAAAACCTCAAGCATGACAAACGCTAAGGTGCCCCATTTTCTTGAATGAAGCATGGCCTGTAATAAAGCTTCCGTGCCATCAACCTGCACACAATTGTAATTACAAGTTAAAACGTTGTTAGTCAATCAAAAGGACAATACACCAAATCGACCAAATTATCAATCATCTAAACAATCGAAAGTCTCTCAAGTGTACTTTAGACAATTTAAGTTGAAAACAGATGACGCATGCCAAGTTATTGTTCCCTCAATGTTATTAGTTCCCTTTTCTGGGCTTGAGGGATAATGTTTTCCCATTCAAGTAGCAAATATATACGTGCCAGTGTGAGTAACCCAAACCAAGCCCCACACCCACAGGAGAGAGAGAGAGGTTATCAATGAAACGGTACTAACGAAAGGAAAAATACCAGGGTATTTTCAGGTGACCGCCAATAGAAACCTTGCACTGCTGCCGGGAAAAGTTCACGAGCAGCCAAAGCATAGATAATGAGTGCATTCATCCCCATCCACTGTAGTAAAATCATAGGCTTTCTAAAGTGTTTGACATCAACCTGTACTCAAAAAAAAGTCGGCCCAAAATTTTCAGTTCACCCTCAATTCTATTTTTTCACATATTGTAACAACGAAACATTAAGTGTTCTTTTTTCTGTCTCGTATTATCATATACAAGTACTTATCTACATTACAACTTACAATGTAATAAATAATGGTTAAACACAAGCCTGAAGCTCCAGCAGTTATGCATGTATAGCTCAACGTGTACAGTGGTTTTGAAAGAGGAATGCCTGTCATAAATAGCCATAAGTTAGCACAGAAACAGAATCAAATTCTTTGAAAGATCAAATCCGTGAAAGATTGAGTTTAAATTATATACCTAGCACCTCTAAAATGTATCCAATTATTAGAAGAGGGATTGAGAAAAAGGACCATAAAAGTATCTTCTGTTTATAGCCCTATAGCAAGAGACACGAGTGAGAGAGCACATTGAAGCTCTTCATCAAGACATATACGTGTAAATGGCAAAACAATAGCAACATAAAATCATAATTAGCTTCATAAGCATGCAAATTCCGGTATAATAAGAAATATCATACCTTAAAATGCACAACTATGTGCCCATAATGCAACCCAACAAAGCACGTAATGGCAGCCATCAGAGAACTAAAATTGTTAGAAAACACAAATTAGAAATCAACAAATTAGAACGACACAAATTGGCAGTAGGGACACAGATTATCTTGGTCGGTTATAAACGACCCATGCGTAGCCTAGCCTGAAGAATCTCCCTTACTAATCCTCGTGATTCAACCCTACTTTGTATGTTATGAACAAGATAGAAAAAAGAGGCACATCCAAGTAGAGCTCTCAGCAGACCTTAAAGCTCATCTAATGAAGCATCTTAGAAGAACAAGTTGATCAAAATTTCATGTTGACCTTGCATGTCTAGTGGTAATCAATCTGAACTTAAAAAGAGAAATTCATTCACAAAATAAACTAAAAAATTGATCCAAAATCTTTTTTTTTTTTTTTGAAGAATATAAATCTAATATGGATTTACAATCTATTAACTTGTAAATAACATAAAGACATGAGAAAAAAGATTATAGCAAGCAACCTTAGGATGCCCTCTGGATCAAATGGCGCAAGGCACCACCCTGGTGAATTTGGTGGCAGAGGTCCATAGTCGGGAGAATTAACACTGCATTCCTAAGAAAACAAGAAAGATTAAGATGTCTTGAATCTTGCTGATCAAACAAAATAATGCACAGATGTGAGATCAAAAACCTGAAACATCTCTTAAACACAAAAAAAGGCAGTAATTGTTAGAGTAAACCTGAGGGGATATTAACCTTTGTTCTTCTGTAAACAGGACGTTGGTAAAGATGTTTTTCTCCAAGAATAATTCGATCAATAAATCCAACAGCATTACAAGGAGGTTCAAGGCTGCCCCTCATTTCACAATGGACCTGGGACACAAATATGGTGCTTCATCTCAGTTCACAAAACAAGGAACTGGCATACAACGAAAATAGTGAACTCAGTTGTGGGAAAAAGAGTGGCGTGTAACTAAAAGGCATCAGATAGACGGACTTGTCAGGGCAGTCAATCAGAAAAAAATGAAATCCGAAAACAAGTTATTCGGTAGTTGAACAAGAAATAAACATTAAACTCAGCTGCTCTTGGCATGTTTTTAATTCTTATTTAGAAAAGAAAATAAATTTGTATGACAATGTAAAATAGTAAATACCAACCCCCCCCCCCCCCCCCCCCCCAACACCAAAAAAAAAAAAGGTGTACAATTTAACTCACATTTTGAGTATCTGATGTATTACCAGCCACGTTTAAGCTGGAAACCGCAAATGACCAATTTGGAACATAAAGGCCATATAACAAGAGCAAATAAGTTGAGCACAGTAAGATAGCAAACAGCCTGCATAAGACAGTAACAATCACCAATTTCAGGATAGCAAGAACAAACACACAAGCACGACCATCTGTGCATGCATGTGTATTGTGCTAGTCCAATCATGAGACAGTAATACAAAAGTATAGGTGCTTATACAAAAACTTTATTGCAAGAGTTGGTACTTTGGTTAGGTCATCATCTGTTAAAAGCAATAACCAGCTATGAAGTATACAAAAATATTTTCTAATTCCAATAAATTCATGTGAAACTCTTTCAAAGCCACACATAACCTAAAGAGAGAAGAGTATTAGTTGAGAAGAAGTGAGCACCAGCTATAGTATCTAACAGAACTAACCCCTGAGCGTAGTATTTCCTTACAAAAGCCACCGGTGAGTCAACCATGATGTTCTTGACAAACCAGATCTCCGACATTGAAGCCAATAGATAGCCAATTGAAATTCTCTGTAAATTAGGCACTTCAAATCAAAATCCATACTCATAATTACAGCAGCAGGCAATACATAACTTATTGTAAACTTAAATAAAAAATTGTATGACTCAGCCAGCTTAGTAATTCTAAACAACATTAACATAATGGAAATAGGATTGGAACCAAGCCTACTTTCCTATAAACCGTCCAAATCATCAAAGCTAAGTACAATGAGACCTCCGGACCTAGAACAACAGCGCAAGGGCAAGGACAATCGAAAATAAAAATAAATGGAAGAAACTTGATTATTGATAGAAGGGAAAAAAAAAACAATTTACACACAAATAGGTAGTTCAATTATGGTACCTGCAGTACTCCTAACCAACGTATCTTGGCCACATCAACTCCATAAGTCAAATGGTTACGCCCATGGAAATACCCACCTAAGAAAGCAACCCAACAATTAAGAGTATGCTCATTTCACAACTCAAGTCATAAATGATAGGTAGTACAAATGCACATGCAGAATCAGAGAAGTAAAGACAATTGAAAAAGGGGAATTTTTGTAAAAAGTTGTATATTGCCTCGGCTTGTAATAGCTCATGCACAGTGTTTATATACAGCTCAAAGAAATCAACTAAACCTATAGATACACACCAGGTGGCATAACAGAAAAGAAAAGGAATATTACAAATCCCAACAGCTTGACAAAGAATAACAAACTTCCTGAAATACAGGGAAGAAAACTCTCTGCTGCAGAGCTGCAACTAATCCTTTATAACTAATCTCACTATTAAACATAATTAGAACTAATAAAGAATTAGTGCTGCCTAACATGCGGCAAATACTACATGGAACTAGAACATACGAAATCTTGAATGACATTGTAGCTGGGTAGATTTTGGATTCAATTCAAGCAACTTAAAAAGGATCTACTAAGTAGCCTAAAAGCAGAAACAGGGAGATTTGATCGTATCAAGGTTAAGCTTGTCAAAAGCTAATAGTACAACAATGGCCCTCGGAATCCGGAATCATTTAAAGTACAAAATGCAAACCTTCTAGTAACACCCCCAAGAGAAAGAGCTTAATTGCTCTCAGCAAGACCTTTTTTGTAGCTGTTGTTTTGCTTGATATTTTCTGCAATCGAAAGCCAAATAATGTTCAAGACTCCCAAGTTATCAGCACTAGTTCTTAAAGTTAAAAGTCACATTCCAATATACAGAAATCTGGAAACAATGAAATGTACAGATATAAAATATATGTACCTTGAATACTAGACTAACAGAGACACCAACACCAAAAAGAAAAGAGGGCATTACAAAATCTGCAAGCGTTACACCGAACCATGGAGAGTGATTTATGGACGGAAAAGCTCCTCCAGCATCATCGACTAATATCATCAACTGTAAAAAATAAAAATTAGGAGAAATTCCCATTAAAAAAGATCAGAGAAAGTAATAATTTCTCAATCTGTTGCTCTTGGCTTTCTCATACGACAACTATCAAAGATTTTGTTTGCCAAAAAACGATACAAAGATCGTCGAAAAATCCATAAACCCTAAATTTAAACGATTTGGAATCCGAAGCAATTATAAATTGATTGAAAGCTCCAGTGAAAGTAAAACTCAAACTAAATGGGAGAGGAATAAGGGATTTGAGCACGCACAGCGATGGTGAGGCCGCGAAAGACGTCGAGAGAGACAAGACGCTGGTTTTGATCGGCGGGATTGGGTGCCGGAGAATCTGGACCGTCGGATGAGGAGAAGGGCACGATGTCGTCGTTCTCAGAGGAGTGTTTGGAGGGAAGCAGCGGCGGAGGAGGAGAAGGTTCGCGAAGGAGAGGCTCTCGTTGCTCTTCGACGACGTCGATGAGCGCCGACATGTTTTCCGACCAACCAACAACCAACGAAACGGACGGAGAACTGCCAAAAGATGGTGTTCTCTAGTGAAATTGACTTGCACAAATGAGGGCATTCTAGTCTTTATGCGGTGTCGCCGTACATTCGGCGCCAAAAGTTGGCTCACAGTTAGTTGATCCTGTGTTTCGCGCCACATGAAATCACAACATTGCGCTTTTAATCTGAACCGTGTATCATTGGTCAGCGTTGACCCTTTTTCACCCCCTTCCCCTTTACGTTTCCATGCCTCATAGTCTCATACGTTGGGTTTTTTTTTTTTTTTTTTCCTTTTGAATTCTATGGAGCATTTTAATTATATATATTCTGGCGTGATTTAATTATAGTAGTTTTTTTATCTGAAATAATTATAGTAGTTTTTTATCTGAAATAATTATAGTAGTTTTTTTATCTGAAATAATAATAGTAGTTTTGATTAGAGTGATACAATTTCAATCAATTTTATTCTTTTCCTATCTGTGTATTTATAATGAGATGTTTAGTTTATGAATTTAAAATTATAATTTATGATTATAATTTTTAAAATTTAAATTCTTTTATAAGAGAAAAATACTATGGAGAATTAAAACGTCCTATAAATTTCTGAAAAAGTCATCGAGCCAATAACTACACATAGTTTAAAACCGACACAAATCCTAATAAACGACAAAAACAAAGTTTGAAAATGATATTAATTCTTATAAACAACTTTTTTTTCAAGGAAAAAAAACTGGAAAGACGAAGGAGGTGCAAAAAAAACGACAACAAAAATGCCTGAACGGAATCAGTGCCCATATACGTCAGCAATGCTAATAAACGATAACAAAGTTTAAAACGACAATTAGTTAGGAAAACGACATGCGTATTGAAAGGACAATTAAACGACAACAAATAAAAACGATAAGAACCTGAAAACGACATGGAATGGGAAAACAACATCGACTTAAGAAAACAATCAACTGAAAAAGAACAATGAGACAAACCATGGCACAATAACCAAACGACAAGAACGAAAAATCATATGGAGTAAGAAATTGACACGTAGTTTAGAAACGAAAGCAATTAAGAACAACAACAAAAATTAAACAATGCGTCAGTAAGCTATTAAAAGAGACAAAAAAGAAAAAAAAAATTAACTACAGTAAGCCAAGAACGACAGGAATACTCAAACAACTACTTTATTGGAGGCATCAATGGCAAAACTAATATAATATGGAACAGCGACTAGAACTTATATAAAGACATAAAGAATAAATACGACAACAAACTCAAAAAATAGCAAAATGAGAAAAACGACAAGAACTATTAAATGACTAGAACAGAGAAACGACAACATTTAGCGGACGACTAGCACCGCAATTCTACGGGCATTGTTCCTTGCCTTTTCATGTCGCTTATGCTTCATTGGGATAGTAATTTCTTTCCTCTCACCTTTTAGTATAACTCCCAAATTTTATACTTTGCTAGTGAATGAATAAAGAAAGTATCATTCTTCAATTTCCATCCTTGTAGGCATACAAGTTCGACAGAAGCCAATTTATAAATAGCTTGTAAGCTAATGTTTGTACCAACTTTTATTCTTAAAAGTGTAATAATAATTTGGCACCGACAGAGAAATCTTGACATGAAAATCAATGATTATACTGCAAGTGCAATGCCATATCAATGCCATACTAGCTGGTAAATAGACTCAAAGATCTCATTGATCCTAGTTTTTGTGCAGCGGAGGCCAAAGTGGCATTACTTTTACAAAATGCAAACCTAATATATCTATTTTGATAGCTATAATCAACTTGAAAACTTTTCTTCAAGGCCAAGTTTGTGTGAAAAAATCCACATCCTGGCACTGCCACCACCCCAGCTTTCTGTATTAATTTTTTGACATATTCTACCTGAAAAAGAGTGAAAAAACATATTCAACAAAAGATGAGTTGAAAATCCTGCATTGAATCCGTAAGCTAAAGTTTACTATTAGAGGTCTGAAGGAACATAAAAAGAATGTTGCACAAGGTACTATTGAAGATCAGTATGAGTAAGCATACATCAGAAAGTGGGCAATCTTCAGGAAGCTCGGCAAATAAGAAGAAAGCACCCTGAGGCTTAAACTGAAACTTAAAACCAACTCCTTCAAGCATCTTGATTACGTAATCCCTTTTTGATTCATAACCCTAGTTTTAATAGAAAATTTGTCAGTGTCAAGTGAGGGAATCCATATATACAATCAAAGTTTTGGTTTCTACATCCAACCCTTCTCAATGATTCAAAGTATTCAGGAGGGCTTCTCAAAGCAGTCAAGGCGGCTTCCTGGAAAGGCGCTGGAGCGGAATCGGTAATCTTGACATGAATGTTTCTGATTGCAGAGGCAATGAAAGGTGGGGCTATAGCCCATCCAACCCTCCAACCTGATAGACAATGGGCCGAATAATGCTGACTAATAAACAACATTGGGAGCAAGGAGAGAGTGCAATCTAAGATTTTAACCTGTAACGCTAAAGGATTTTGACAATGAAGATGTGATGATAGTCCGTTCTTGCATTCCTGGTAACGAGGCAAGCGAAATGTGTTTGTTGTTGTCAAAGGTTATGTGCTCATATACCTAGATAAAACGTCGAAGGAAAAAAAAAAGATTTTAGGATAGAGTACTACAGATGTAACCTGTATCATATGTGAATTATGCTAAATCCGGTTCCTAATGTAAGGTTCCAACTTCTACAAACTAATTGGAGGGGAAAGTCCACCAAATAACAGAACTGCATATATGCATAACGATTAGGCCAAAGAGCTTATAACTAAAATTTGAGTCTTGACGTCATACTTCATCTGTTATGGCAAAGCAGTTCCTAGTGCGGCATTCTTCGGCTATAAGCTCGAGTTCATCTTCACTGAAAACTTTGCCAGTTGGATTCTGAGGACTGCAAAATCTTATCAATTTTGATCAGATAATATTACTTGTTCTTTGCAAATACATCATAAGCACACCACCACTGATCATTTTTTACCTGTTCAATACTACAGCTTTTGTTTTCTCAGTAAAAGACTTCCTGAGTTTTTCCGGATCCAAGGTCCAATGAGGTGGGTCAAGAGCTACATAAACCTACAAGACCGAGTTTTTGACAGACTTGTATCACTGTAAATCCAAAATTTTGAGAGCCTAAAACTGACAAAAATAACCTAAACTTTATTCTTTGTAATACAAACTCAAGATTCGTCTGAAGTTGTTAGTAAAGGAGCTTACTGGAACTCCCCTAGCTATGGTAACACAAGCTTCATATGTTTCATAAGAAGGGTCGAAAAGTATAACTTCATCGTCTTTGTCAATTGCTGTGTCCAAACAGAACAAAGTAGAATCACATAAAGAAGCCAACAAAGATTTTACTGTAAATTGCTAAACTAATTGAATAACAACATTGTAAAAATATTAGTGCTTACTTGCAAAAACAGCTGCTGCAAATGCCTCAGATTGGCCACAACAAATAGCTATATCAGTCAGAGGGTTGACATTCAAACCATGCATTATTTTCACTTTCTTTGCGAGGAGGTCACATATTCCTTGAACATGCCTTGAGAAAAAAAATAAGTATATATATATATAGTTATAAAATCAATGAGCATGAAGAAATTGGAGATAGAAAATACATAAAATGATTGACTAACCTGTACTGATTGAAGTCGGAATTAATGGCGGAAATGGCAGAGGATTTGAGAAGAAGAGGAGCGGGGAAGTCTGGAAAGCCTTCGGCGAGGTTGATGGCGTTGGATTTCTGGGCAAGGTGGGAGAGTTCTTGAATGGGTGAAGGCTTAAAGTGCTTTGCAACTGAGGAGAGTTTTCCCTCCATTGATCTCGACTAGTACGACTCCTGATTTCTTTCTTATCTTTGGACTTCCCAGGCGAGTTTTGTCGTTTGCTTTTATATGTCTCTTCAGGTGAACGCCACTTGCAACTCACGTGAACAACTCTTTATATTTCCTTTTTCTTAATACATACACGGAGAGTTTTTTTTTTTTTTTTTTTTTTTTATTCAATTATATTTCCTTTTTCTTAAAACATACCCGGAGAGTTTTTTTTTTTTTTTTTTTTATTCAATAAAAAGAATATTATTGGTGTCATTCGACCTTTTTTTTTTTTTGAGTTATTTAAAATCCGTTTAGTTCACTGATTTAAATTTTTAATTTAAATTGAGATATTTTAGGATATTAATTAGTTAATTTTATTAATCTTGTAGCATAAGCTTCATATAAAGCTTCTACATACGTGTCTACTCACACGTGTATTCTGTGTATAAACATTGGCTTGTACTCTATTTTCTGATTAATGAAAAACTTCACTTCCAGACAAACAGTTTCTTCCTCTGTAATAAGATGTGATTTTAAAAACGTTCATTTCACCGATTTAAGTTTAGAATTTAAGTTTTGCTACAGTAAAAGACTCTCAGAAACAGTCACGTTTAACTTTTTTATTACAGTAAAAAGCTCTCACATAAATTTACATATCAACTCAAATTAAAAACTCGAATCAATAAACTAAACGAGTCATTTATGTGAAAATTTATTAATGTAATAAAAAAATTAAATGTAATTCTTTTAAAAAATTTTTATTATAATAAAATTTAAATCAATAAAATAAACCGAACGTAAAAATATCAGATTATAACACATTAGTCGAACATAAATTCTAAAGTGGAGCCATAAAATATTGAATGCGGAGGAAAGAAAATAATCTTTTGTGCAATACCCAATGCATCTTAACAGGATGAAAAAAAAAATACTTTTATTGCTCTACCAACTCGTTGTGGTTAATGGGAGAGTTCTATATTGGTGTATGTGTTTGTGTTTTCATTAAAAAAAAAAAAAAAAAAAAAAAAAAAAAAAAAAAAATATTTTTTTTTTTAATTTTTTTTTTCTAAAAAGTTTTTATAAAAAAAAAAAAAAAAAAAAAAAAAAAAACACTAAACTAGTTATTTTCTGAATTCTTTTTGTCTAACGAGCTTTCCCCTTCAAAAAATCATCTAGGAAACATCTTATCTTTTTCTTTTTTGCTGGTAATGTTGACTTCTCTTTGAAATTAATGTATGAAGCCCTTTTGTTCTCTTGAAACGTTGGACGGTTGGAGCATTTGCTTTTGTATTTGACTATCCATTTTGTATATCTTTTTTAGTTTTAAAAAATTTGGTCAGCTTACCTTTTATCCTCTAAAATTGAAGTACGGGTCAAGCTAGTCTTGCACTTTCAGCAATTTTATTCTTTCCTAAATATTATATATATATATATATATATATATTGCACAATTGACATACCCTTTTTATAAAATTTAGGCATCATTCGTTTCGTGGATTTAAGTTTTTAATTTAAATTAGAATGTGATATTTTTTGAGAACTTTTAACTATAGTAGAAAAAGTTAAATGTGACATTTTTTAAGAGTTAACTGTATAAACTTAAAACTGAAAATTCGAATCGGTAAAATAAATGAGACCTTAAAGTGTGAAGCCTTTTGTCCTCTTGAAACGTTGAAGCATTTCCTTTTATATTTGAACTTTGAAGATCGATTTTGAAGATCGATTTTTAAACTCTAAGTTTTGGTCGGATTTCTTTTATGTAAATTAAAAAGTCATATTTTTTTATTTTTGATGTAATTTTTAAGGATGAAAACGAAGATTTAACCTGGCTTATTCTATTGTGTTAAAACCGAAATAATTTGCTTAAAAAATTCCAAATCTAAATTAAAATAAAATTTAAAAAATTAGCATAAATAATTTTAAAAGGTGGACCTTCGTGGCCAGCAAGGGTATGAGAGTACAAATTTAGGGTAGAAAAGAGTGAGAGATGAGGGAGAAGTGTCTTTTGTAATCTAATATCCACCGTGTTAAAGATAAGTAAAAATTTAAAACGGTATGGACTTTGATAAAAGAGAAGACGCGAAAAATTGAGTGGTGCCCGGGGTAGCTGTCCCTTTGGCTCAGGGGGCTCCCTTCACTTTTTACTCTAAAAACTTATGGTCTGTTATTTTGGAGTGTGATTTGAGTGTAATTTTTGAATTAAATTTAAGTTATAACTTGAGTTGAAGTTGTAACTTGAGTTTGTGTTTGGTTGTGTACATTTGAGTTATGGTTTGAGATAAGAATCTTTTTGAGTTTGTGTTTGAGTGAGTCAAAATTTGAATTTGTATTTAGTCAATATTTTAATAAAAACTCAATGGTGATGAAAAATTTTAATAGGGTATATGGGTGAGGTTTTATTCGTCTTTTCGTTGTCAACGCATAGAAAAAAAATCATCTCAATCAGGATTAAAACGAAAAAGTTATAGCATTTTTAAGAATATAAAAAATAATGTTCATTAATTTGAGTTCAAATTTCTAAACTCGAGTTGAAAAGAAAACTTGAAGTCAACTTTTAGTCTCAAACTCGAGTTCAAATTCGAGTTTAAACTCGAATTCAGACTTAAAAGAACATGGACTTAAATAAAATTGAAATTGAAATTGTATTTTTTTGAGTTTTTGAGGCTGCCGAACAATGCCTTACTTTCTTACAATTTTTCTTTTGATTTTCTCCTAAGATTTTTTAATCAAGTTTTGTACATAGATTATTCTAAAAAGTTTCTATTAATATCCCTTATATCAACTGCACTGCTATATAAATTCATAGTTTGAAGATTTCAACTTTAAAATGCGAATTGAACTAAATGCATAAAAGAAGACAAAAGAGAGAGAAAAATAGTTGCACTAGTAGTTTTCTCAAAACTTCCACTTAATTCAACTCCCCATTGCCATTGTCAAGTAAGTTTCTTTTAATTAAAAAGGTGTTTTTTGTAATTTTAATAAAACGCGAGGGCTGTTAATATATTTCTCCTTTTTTTTTGAAAAAAATATATTTTATTTCACAAAAAATGACTTATATAAGATATAAATAGTCTCAAATACAACAGAAATTTACCCAACCTTTGAACCTACTAATAAAAATATCATGGCACAAAAACAAAAATAAGGGCCGAAACTCAAAGGGCCACTCCTTTTTTGAATACGCATGTACCAAATAAATATTAAGAAATAGTAGAAAATAAATTAATATGAAAAGTTTAAAAAAGTATATAAGTTAATTTTTAGTTATAAAAATTAATATGTCATAACTTGTCAAGTTATAGTTCATAATCAGATAAGTTATGAATAAATTTATTAAGTTATGATTCATAATTAGATAAATTATAAATAAAAATAATAATTTAACTTATTTATTAACTTATATAAACTATTAACTTATTAATTTTAATTTATCTCAAATCTTAACCTATTTTTCTCTTTCTCCCATAAATATTTTGTATGCGAGAAATAAGGCAACTCCTGATTTCTATTTTACAAGAAGGCCTCTCGTTAATTCCACACCACATGAGTCACGACCCCACCAGCATACAAAAAGACAAACGACAAAAAGAGAAGAATACCTATCCAGAAATGTATACTTTATTATATATATATTTTTTTTTTTTTTTCCGAAAAAATTTATTTGTCCATTACTGTCATTTTGTGTGCGTGTGGCTAAAAGAAGCAACTGTTTTAACAGTAACGCGGTGAATCTCGTACCCGGATTCTATGGAAGTAGTCTCAAGTCGTGCGTGCAAACTACAACGATGCAACTGCTCCAATCCAGTTGTGCGAACCTCAATAATGTAAGCTCTCTTTTATATTCAGTTCAGTTCATGTTCATCTCAATTATTAATGACGTTAGAACACAGATTGGTATTAAAAAATAATAATAAAAAAAAGAAACTCCAAATAGGAAATATCTCGGAAGCAACCCTCCGATGGTACTCATTTGTCTCCTTCTCCAATATCACTTTAAGCGCCCATCGCAATTTGCAATAGTTTGTGGACCAAACTGTTCATGAGTGAATTGTGATTAGACAATGAAGAACCAATTATGTTCGAGCGACGAGGACGAGTACTGCGAGTCCTCGAATACTTATTGCTGGTGGAGATCGGCTGCGGAGTTCGAAGAATGCGTCAAGCTCAAGCTCGATCCGCCCAACGTGGTGGCGCTGACGCCGAGGATTCGGATTTTGAGGGAGTTGGAGAGGTTGTCTTTGGTGGCGCAAGACGGCCTCAATGAGCTCCGCCACAAGCTTGTCATGTACCGGTCCGGTGATTTCTGGATGCCGACCGGAGGGATTCCCAAGGAGAAAACCGATATTCCTCCGGTTGTTACGGTTCTGTTGGTCGGCTTCTCCGGTTCCGGTAAGAGCTCGCTTGTTAATCTCATGTACTGCGTGTTGGGCCGCTCTGGACTCGTTCCCTTTGCTCAAACCTCTTCCGGTGAGTTTCATTATCTGTATGAATATGATGATGTTGTATTACTTTGTCATGATCAAAAAGTTTATGCTTGAATGCTGAAAAGAGGCTAACTGTTTTTCTTTGAAAAGAAAGTTAATATAGGATTTAATTTCAGGACTTACTACATTGAAAAATCCACGCACGCACTAAACACCAATTGAGCGAGCCTTAATTAGCGAAGAGGCTAATTGGTCTTTTTGTTTACTGTTTTTGTAGGAAATTCTTCCAAGTACACAAGCATGTTTTTGGAGGAGCATAATGTAATCAGGTCATTGCGAAGTGGTTTCTGCGTGTATGACTCGAGGGGGTTCGATTATGACCAAATTGGGGAGAGTTTAGAAGAGTTGTATAATTGGATAAATGATGGGGTTCACCATAACCAGCTATGTTTGAGATCAGGAGACCATTTTTTGCAAAGAGATGAAGTGGAACTTCTTATGGCGAGATCGTCTTCCAAGTTCTTGAGGAGGAGGGTGAATTGTGCAATGGTGGTGGCTAACATAGCAGAGATCTATGAGGCCTACAAAGCAGGGAATTACAAGCCATTGGAGACCACTAAGGAGCTCTATTGCTCAACAGCCTTTAAAAAATGCGGTAAGTTTCCATTCCTTCATTCTCTTTCCTTGTAGTTCTGATTATTTAGCCATTGAGATAGAAGGAACCAGATTGTGATGCTGAAATTTAGTAGCAAAAAAAAGGAGTTTGAATCTGCCGGCAAAATTACGGAACAGAGAGCTTCTTTGGCCTTTAATATATGTTTTTTCTTAAGCTCTTGTAAAACATTCAACTACTAAATTCGGTGGAGTTGTAACTAAATGCATCATCACACAAAAAAAAAAAAAAAAAAAAAAAAAAAATACTTAACCCCACATTGCTATATGGTAGTATTGGTCCCCTTAAATGTACGTGGAGATAAATATCATTTTTTTCACTAGAATTTCTCCAAAAAAAGGAAACAAGTACTTTGAACTGAGTAATGTTTTTTCATCCATTGTAACTGCAGCTGAGAACCCCATCCTGATCTTGACACACGGCGACATGTTATCGACGGAGGAGAGGATCGAAGGACGGATTAAAATATGTGAATGGCTACACATATCAGAGACAAGTGGAGTGTATGATATTGTGTGCCTCACAGAGTACGGATTTATAGCAGAAGACTCAGATCCAGTCTCAGCCTATGCCCTGACAGAAGCTGTGTACAGAGCATTGCTTATATCTGACCGAAGCCACCCACCTAAGAGAAACATCCTAGACTGGACAATGCTTGTTTTGTCGTGGCTTATGTGCTTCATTGCTGCTTTATTCGCTTTCCTCGCTGAGATTTGCTCCAAAGTCGGACACAGGGATAGATTTAGGTTGTGAAATTGTGTATCATAGGTGACTAATAACTGATCAGATGCCTAACTCAAGACTTCTTGTACCTTCTGTTCACAAGATTGTAGTAGCACTAATACGACCTTCTCAATTAGGATCTAACTTAGGTTATTCTTATTTGTTTTAGGTTATTTTTATGTCTTTCACTAGTTGCAATAAAGAAGGCTTTGTTCTGATGAGAAAAATAGATTCATCAAAGAGTTTGTGCTCCATCTAGTCTTCCCATGGATGTATACATTATTTCATCATGAGATACTGCCCAAGAATTGCAGGCTCATAGGCTCTGTCTAACCCAAATTCATCCCCCATAGTTTGCTATAATTGTTGCGGTGAGATGTCATGTGTATCAAGGTCAAATAAAACAAACGACAGTTATTGTTTATACGACAACTATTATAAGAACGAAAATCAGAATTAACAATAATGGCCTCAAAGACAACTCTGATAAAACGACAATAATCTGAACGACCATAAAATGACATTCCGCATAAACGACAGTAACGTAACCAGCGACAGCATGTCAAACCATCAGCACCCTTAAAAATGACAACACCATTAACTAAATAAACGACAACTACTAAGAAACGACATCGATATGAAAACGACAATCGCCTTAACAAAGCGACATAATTTGAGAAAATGAATAGCGTGGAAGGCGGCTTAGACGTTATGTAGACGACAGTAAGATAAATAAATGACAGGAAAATAAAACGACAAGAAGGAAAAAGGACGACATCAGATGAAAAAACATAACATCGATAAAACGACAGTGATAATCCAGACGACAGCAAATTCGTAAAATATAACGAACTGAGAACGACATTGGAATGGAGAAACGGAGTCCTCAATGAACTACATTATATAGACAAACGAAAATTCTGTAATAGAATATAAGAAATTAGTGACATGAAGACAGAACGAAAAAAATCCTCCATACACGACATTATCTAGAAACGACAATTACTTGTATGCGCAACTAAAAACCGACAATTCATTTAAAAATACTAAAAAGGGGCATTACGTATCAAACGACGGCAACATAGCACTGCAACTTTTTTTTAAAGGATAACAACAAGAACAAACCGTAGGAAAACGACACCAACCATATAAATATCGACCTGATGTATAAACGACAACATTATAAACAACATCTAACGGAAACGACACCAACCGAAAAGGCAAAAAACCGGTCAAATGACATGAACGTAAAGGGCAAATAGGTAAGGAACGAAATCGAATGAAATCAATAACGGCCAAAATAAACGATCTTATTTCGGAAAATGACTTAACTTTAACAGCCTCTTAAAAGACGATCTCAACCACGTAAAAACGAACAATGTATTATAAACGACAGGAACATATTACAGTGCGTCAAAGGAAAACGATATCAGAGGTAAATGACAGCAAACTTAAAAAGTGACCACGACATAAACTGTATAAAAGACCAACTCAAGACGGCATTAGTTTTACGGTCATACCATGAAAAACGAAAATAATTGAAAACGACAACGCAGCTTGCGAACGACATAATCAACTGGGTTAAAGACAAACTATTCAAGAAACGACGTCAGCAGGAGGAAAGAGGTGAAACGAGAATACACCCAAATTAAATATACACTCAGAAAAGAAAATTACGTAAAGAATAAACGATCACTGGAGAAACAATATTTATTGGTTGAAAAGATGGAGTAAGAATCTTTTGGTTCTGATTTGCTTAAACTTGCAATGTGTTTTCTTATCTATAGGAACAGAACAAGAAACAGAACATTTCAAAGTAGTAATGCCATTTACTATTTCAATCACTCAACCAAAATATAACAAAAGGAAAGAATTAACTTTTTTCCAAATAGAACTATGCAATTTTTTGGTGGCAAAGAAATAGAAAAAATTAGAAAAATTCGCCATCCTTCTAGACTACATAACCATAGAATGAACCAGAAGCTGCCACGCAAAGTGCAGCAAGGCACTATAAACAGAAGCCACATCAGATCACAAAACACGCGTCAAGCAAAAGTAGCCTCCAGAAACTTCACCCCAAACTCTTTCTTCTCCAAGGTTCACATTGTTGTTTGTTAAACTTCTCGCCTGTGTTTCCCAACACTAAATCCACTCGTCAAAAACTCAAAAGTAATATCGATCAGTCAAAATTCAACCATCATCAATATATCCAAAATGCAATCAAGATTAGCTGCAGCCATAGCATCAAAGTCAACCGGCTGGGCCTTCTCCTCTAGAGCTCTCCGGCGAGGACTTGGCACCTCCACGCCGTACCGCACCGCCGACCCCGCCGGTCACGCCGAAGATTATCAAGCTCATCAGCCAGCTGTCCCCCATGGAATGCCTGATGTAAGTTAATTTGTACTTAATTTTACATATTTGTTTAATTAATATTGTTGAAGAGTTTTTTGAAAGAGATGAAGATTGTTATAATTCAGTATATTCGAGTAAAATTTTGATCTCTAATAGTTTGCTAAATTTATTTTATGGCATTCAATACCAAAAATAACATTGACAGGCTACTAAGATCGATGTGGTCATAATTTCAACTTTGATTTAAAAAACTGTTTTTATTCACAGTTTCACTCATTGAATGTCTATATATACCTTTAAATTAGAATAAAACCTTGAAACAATGTCTTATTTAGTGTTAACGTATTGGAGCATATCATAAAAATATAATGTGGACACCGTAACATAATACTAACAGTAGTAGAAATGATCTTAGGTTAGAAGATGTGTGTAGGATATTTTTTATCATGTAAAAGTTGTTATTTTAAAAATCTCAATTGGACAATTGTAATTCATTATAATTAGTATTAACACATTAAGGACTAATTCAGGAATCACAAGAGCATAGAGAGCCCGAGACAGCCAAGCCGCAAAGAACAGATAATGACGATGATCAGCAACGTAATTATAACTACAAAAAATCGACCAATCCAACGGAACCACTATCACCTCCAAAACCGCCCTACCCTAGCTCCCCAAGGCTGGAGAGCACCGGAGTGAACCACCCTGTGGACCCCACCCTTCAGCAGAAGCGATCTGCCACCAATCAAGCAGGGAGCAGCCTGATCGATGACGTCAGCTGCGTGGGGATCGACGGCTCTCCGTGGCCGAGGGAAGAAGAGGAGAAGCAGCGGAGCATAGAGGAACAGCAGGAGGAGGAGAGAGAGTACTACAAGCATCACAAGGCGTCGCCGCTGTCGGAGATAAAGATGGCGGATACGCGGAAGCCGATAACGCGGGCGACTGACGGGACGGCGGACAGTTATGAGGATGAGTACGGTAGGGGGAGGGACGTCGTGGGGTGGTTGCCGGAGCAGCTGGACACGGCGGAGGAGGCGCTGAGGAGAGCGGCCGAGATATTCAAGCAGAACGCCATGCGGGGCATTCCTGAAT